TTTTGGCAGATTGTGTCTTTCAAGGAATTGGTCTGTTTCATCCAGATTATAAAATTAGAGGGCATAGGATTGTTCATAATATTCATTTATTATCCCTTTAATGTCCATTAGAACTGTAGTGATGTCCTCTTCTAGTGTATTTCCAAAGCTCTCTGTGATCGCCATAGTACTCATACACTGTACTCTAAAGATTCATTCTTTCATACCTTCATTGGACACATGTGAACACATATTTTTAAGTGTCTGCTATTTGTCATTCTCTGGTCTTTGTACAGGAAGTGTGGCAGTTGAGCAGCTAGCAAGATAAATACAGTCCTCACCCTTGAAGACCTCATTTTTTCCTTCACTGTCTAGCTTGTGACTAGACTGTACACCATTTGAGGGCAGACACTCTGGTAATCTCCCTTCTACCCTCCACTTAGTGCCCATGCATGTTTGAGTCTCCAAAACTATTTCTTGAATAATTGTATAAATGAACAGTGGCAACCAATAATTTCATTTACTTCATCTCACAAAATACTGGGACATTGAGTGAAAGCAATTCAATAGATCATTTTTTGTTTTTACATCTCAGGCAATTTAAAAGTATTTTAAAATTGGTGGTACATGGATAAACTCATGTTTTATAGCAAGTTGTCCCCTTCTTCTGGAATCAGTCCACGATTGGAAAAGTCAGAGATTTTTCTAAGCTGTAGTATAATCCTTGAATTTTCCCATACTTAACTAAGCTTTTAGTCTCTTCTGCTCAGTTTATAGATGTATAGATAAGGTCTAAGACAGTCCTCACTTTTGCCTGCTAAAACTTTGTAATTCCTTATAAAGAACCAATAATTTGGGTAGAATTGGAGTTGGGCCCATAGTATATTTTATTCTGGCTCTGAATAGAGTGGTCTGAAGAGGAGATGGTAATCTTCCTTTGAGAAAGGAAAAGCATTTGTGAGTTCATTTCCATGATTAAAATTTGTAATTATCTTCCAAATTCTTTTTGTTTCATATTGATCTTTTTCGTTTGAGATTTCCTTTTCTTTACCCTCTGTATAGGGCCATCTCTCTCTCTAACACCTGACTTAAAATCACTGTCTCTTCCAATGTGTTTTTAAAAGTCATTGTTTTTTGTAGAATTTTAAATTCATTGCATATATTACTGAGTTTTTCCTTTATACTCCAATCATTTCAGTCATTTACTCAGGAGCCAATATTGTAGCACTTAGGAAGGCAGGCTGTATATTCCAGTTCTGTCACTCACTAGCTAAATGATATTAATAATAGGCATATCATTTAAACTCTCCAAATCTCAGTGGCTTCATCTATGTGGTGCAATGGGGATACTAATGATACCTATCTCCTAAGGTTATACCAAGATTTGAATAAAATAATGTATGTAAATTGCTTAGCACAGAGTCTGGTACCTATTGCATATTATTATTAGCATTATTGTTATTGTTGCTATAGTTGATATCAATACTGCCCAATAGATTGTAAATGCCTAAAGCCCTGGGATCTCATGTATGACTTCCTCTCCACTCTTGATATAGCACAAGAGTAAGTGCTCCAATAAAGGCTTTTAGAGTCAACAGATAAAAAGTAAAAAAATGAATTAGTTAATCCATGTTGTAAATTCTGATTCAACATACTTTTCTTAGAACAAGAAATATTTCCCATCTGTAGGCATACAGCGTCCTTAAGCATTCAGTTATACCCTGTGAAAGATGTTCAGATTTGTGAAACTGAAAGTGTTCTTTATAATGTATATTTTGTAAATGTGTACAGATTAAGAAGGATTAACTTAAAACAGTAGGATAATCTAAATAGCTACCCTAAAAAAATTACCACTGGCATTTTAATGAAATGTTATTTTACAACTTTAAAGCTCATAGCAATATAATTAGTAATATGTGTAATCTTTATTACCAATCTTAATCTTTTTTATATGACTGAAAAATTATTTTATGGTAGTACAATTAAAATAATGCTAAAAATGTCAGCATAACAGAATTAAACTAAAGTAACTACCACAATATTGTACCCCAAACCAGCTAATTTAAATGCAAAACACTTTGTAAAGACTATTTATCTGGGCTAATGCATGTTAAGGGATTTAAGGAGTAGTTTGTGTAACTGAAATAAAAGGAAAACTAAGCACTGTACAGCAATCTTTGCTATTGTTTAACATTAGGGGAATATTAAATAGGTTTATATACAGGCCACTTGAGGAAAATGTATTAGAAGCCACATC